ATGTCAGGATTCTGAAGTTCTATAACTACAGGCGAGAAACAAACGAATGTCAGGATTCTGAAGTTCTATAACTACAGGCGAGACACAAGGGAATGTCAGGATTCTGAAGTTCTATAACTACAGGCGAGAAACAAGGGAATGTCAGGATTCTGAAGTTCCTTAACTACAGGCGAGAAAAAAGGGAATGTCAGGATTATGAAGTTCTATAACTACAGGCGAGAAACAAGGGAATGTCAGGAATCAGAAGTTCTATAACTACAGGCGAGAAACAAGGGAATGTCAGGATTCTGAAGTTCTATAACTACAGGCGAGAAACAAGTGAATGTCAGGATTCTGAAGTTCTATAACTACAGGCGAGAAACAAGGGAATGTCAGGATTCTGAAGTTCTATAACTACAGGCGAGAAACAAACGAATGTCAGGATTCTGAAGTTCTAAAACTACAGGCGAGAAACAAGTGAATGTCAGGATTCTGAAGTTCTATAACTACAGGCGAGAAACAAACGAATGTCAGGATTCTGAAGTTCTAAAACTACAGGCGAGAAACAAACGAATGTCAGGATTCTGAAGTTCTAAAACTACAGGCGAGAAACAAGGGAATGTCAGGATTTTGAAGTTCTATAACTACAGGCGAGAAACAAGGGAATGTCAGAATTCTATCCTGTCCATGGTGGCATAGCAGGAAATAAGATGATGGATAAACCAGAAAGGAAACATAAGGAAAGCAGGACGTGCAACCTATATTACAGCAAGAGGTGAAGACAATGCTCAGGAAGAAGTAGGGAAACTCCTGGTGGTAAAGAACAAACGGCTCAAATCGACCCAGTCATCCAAAGACAACTTTGGGCAACCCTCGGGGTAGCTTGCTGCTGAAGTGACAGCTCATGGAGACAACGCAGCTGATAAATGGAGCAAATGAAACCAATCGCAGAGGAGGAGGAGGAGGAGGAGAAGAAAAAGAAGAAGAAGAAAAAGAAGGATTAGAAGAAGAAGAAGAAGAAGAAGAAGAAGAAGAAGAAGAAGAAGAAGAAGAAGAAGAAGAAGAAGAAGAAAAAGAAGAAGAAGAAGAAGTAGAAGAAGAAGAAGAAGAAGAAGAAGAAGAAGAAGAAGAAGAAGAAGAAGAAGAAGAAGAAGAAGAAGAAGAAGAAGAAGAAGAAGAAGAAGAAGAAGAAGAAGAAGAAAAAGAAGAAGAAGAAGAAGAAGAAGAAGATGAAGAAGAAGAAGAAGAAAAAGAAGAAGAAGAAGAAGAGGAGGAGGAAGAAGAAGAAGAAGAAGAAGAAGATGAAGAAGAAGAAGAAGAAGAAGAAGAAGAAGAAGAAGAAGAAGAAGAAGAAGAAGAAGAAGAAGAAGAAGAAGAAGAAGAAGAAGAAGAAGAAGAAGAAGAAAGGAGTATGAGGAGAGGAACCTGTCATATCAAGATATTTCCCACATGTTTTATCAATGTGCAACTGGAACCTATTTCATCATAGACTAAAACTTAAGTTAACCAAGATCAGAAAAGTTAATTCCCTCCAGTTATCTCACTGTGCTCCTCTTGTACGTGCTGCGTTATGGTGAAAGTGTAAACAGCTGGAAATGTCCGTATGTTTGACTGGAATTCGAGGGCTCATGTCTAAGGACATTTCTTACATCGATGACTAAAAATCAAGGAAATAAAATTACAAAATTCTTTATCTTTCTTCACGTAAAAAAAAAAAAAAAACCGTGAAATTCCCAATAAAGTAAAGACTTGTCAAAGGAAGACATTGAGTGTTATGTGTGCATAAAGACTTTTGGCCCGGCTTGTAAAAGAAAGAAATTTAGTGCTATCTGTGAATCAATTGTAGATGAACAATATTCAGTACTAATTTTAAAGGCAGACTTTATATCTGCAGTGCTGTAGGTAATTAACTCCGTCCAATTTTACTTGTAAAGAAAGACTTGTACAATACGGAAGTTTAGTGCTATGTTGACATGAAAAACTTGCACCAGAAATTAATGCACCCGAAATTAATTGAGTACTATATTTAAAAGAGAAACTTGTAAAAGAAAAGAGTTCAATGATGTCTTTAAAGAAAAACAGAAAGAAGTTCACCTCTAATTTTAACAAAAACTCTTCTAAAAGAAAGAAATTTAGTGCTACTTATAAGGAAAGATTTACAAACGAAATAAATTCAGTTCCATATTATAAGAAAAAATTGAAAAGAAATAAATTTACTGCTTTTATGTTTGTGCAAGTAAAGATTTATCACAGAAAATATATCAACAAGAAAAAATAATTCACTGTTTGATACAATTCAACGATATTAGAGTCACCTAAAAGGGGGAAAACTGACAGTAATTATGTTTATTGTTTGTTAAAACTTCATTTCTTGTTTTGCACAACAAATAAGGGGATATTTTTAGCATCTAGGAGAATGGAATGTTGTTACTTGTAGCGTTCCGGACTGGAGACAAGAGATGCAATTAATTTTATTGATTTGGGCAGTTACAATAGCATTATGGGTGCATTGTGTCCGTTCATTAATTAACGCGGCATTATTCAAACGTTTAATTTATGATAACAATTATTTGAAAAAAAGGTGTATTTTCCCCGATTTTATTGTGGTGCTTCATGGGTGTACGGACGTAACCCTAGCTATTCACCAATTAAACTTTAGTTCATTAAATCGACCTACATCGTTCCACTGAATAATGGAATCCCTCGTGTGGGTTATGGAGTCAACATTTTGGCAGGTGGGTGATGTGTGGTGGGGTTGGATAGACACATTGACCCCTAACAAGCATGTCATAAAAGGTGACTAATCAGGGGTGTTTCTTCAAAATCAGTGCATCTGTCTGATAGACGAGGAACCAACAGTCTGCATACAAATTAAACAGATCTGTAAAAAAAAAAATGATTTGTACTCAAACCTGAACTTCTGAAACTAAGAAGAAAAGAAACTTACATCCTAATAGATCTGAACATCGATGCAGATCCGCTGGTTATCATCATCCAGTCTTGCATAACGAAATATTGTGGTGATATCAAGTGCCATGGGGGTATTGGTAAGAATTATAGAAGGCATGATAAACTGACAGAGGGGTAGGGGTCGACCAACACGAAGATGGGCACGTGATATAAATGACCTCTTGGGTAGCAAAGTACACCAGTCGAGAGAGTCAGGGTTTCGTTCAGGCAGACTGAGGTGAGAGTGACGTTCTGTAAGGGCCATGCTAAATGTTGATTTCTGAGTTTAAAAAAAAAAGATAAAGCAATATTTATATAAATCATCACCATCAGCAATTTCCACTTCTGCCTTTTAGCGTCGTGGGGAGGAAAAGCTGGCGATCTATTGCTTGATGGGCATCAGTGGGTACACTGTCATTTCGTGTCCATGTTGAAGCTCTTTAAAAATGTCTTCAGTCCATATTCTCCAAGGAAGAACTCTTGATGTCACTTCCAATCTTGTCACGTGTAGCGCCTGTGTTGATAATTGTTCTGGTTGCATTTGTGCTAGATGGCCAAACCATTTTATCTTCTTTTTCTCTCAATGAATTTACTGAATGGTGTTGCTTCTCTCCCCCCCCCCCCCTTTCCCCCCACAGTCTGCCTGGGATGGTTAAACTGGTGGCTTTTCTGGTGCATCTGATTTCACAGGTGTTAACTGCGCTCATCCTTATGTCTAGATGTTTTAATAACGGTGTCAGTTCTTACATAACTGGCTCGTTGGCATCTTTTTTCTGTTTCCTAATTTATTTATTTATTTACACAAATAGAGGATCTTAGATCAAATAATACGTACATTTTAGTTTATATTAGTAAACAGACGGAATACAGTTATTTAATAACGAATTTTTGCATGAAAAGAGCATAAATAAGAGAATACTGAAGTAGTGGATACAGAGTATTCACAGAAATAGTGTAGTATATATATATATATATATATATGTGTGTGTGTGTGTGTGTGTGTGTATGTATGTGTGTGTGTGTATAAAAATTGTTTATTATTGAAACACAGGAACACAAATCGGAACAGTCATTTAATGTGCAAGCAGACGTAAAGGAAGGTAAATCTCTCTATTTACGCATGAGATGCTTGTAGTGCATCAGTTCTGGGCGGATTTTGGATCAACCGGTCAGTTTTTAAACGGCCAGAAACGGAACCTATGCATTGTGGGGCGATAGGCACGTGCTCTTTTATTCATTGATCAGTGCTCACCACGTGACTATGACATAATCATGTACAGCACACTCAGTCACGTGCGGTACGGCTCCAACAGGATTCAGGCAAATTCCTTTATTTACTACATCGCAAAGGATCGCTCCTTCACAAATTATAAATTATAAATTTAATAGAGCTTTCAAATCCAGCTGCGACTCGCTGCAGCCCCGGTCGGTGTTCGAAACCGGGCGGTTCCCGGGGTTCACCCAGCCTCTAGGAAATTGGTACCAGAGGTGACACTCTAGGGTGGATGGAGGAACGTCGTTGTAGCTATGAAGTTACGTGCGGACGTCGACACTGGCGGACATTTTCTTATCAGCTGTCCGTACTGGTGGCAGAGCCCATGGTTTATAACCGTGTGCAGTGACGCTGGTTAACATCTCCCAACTTTACGTTTTTTTTGTCTTAAATGGGTGCTGTGTAAAGTCCCGGGAAGTAAAGGGGGCCGGCGTGATGTTGACCACATCAAATTAGCCATAGATCTATTTTATCTATAAAAATATGAATCTAGCCATGATGCGCCACTCACGTGTAAAGAGGACCCTTTCTTTACTCTACTTACATTAGTTCATTATTAACTATTACAGCAATCATATGACCTCGTTTATTACAGGTACAAGACAAGGACAACATCAGCATTATTGCAATGCCCGGCATTTTGAATCTAGCTAAGAGCCGCATTGTTATCGATTGCAAGCCTGTCTTTGTCCACGGTGCAAGGATGTAATCCCTAGAGACTGACATAATCAAACACAAACCTTTTGAGCGGCAAAACACAAGCTCTAACGTACGTAAATTTAATGGGCCAAATTACACAATGTTACAAAAAAGTTACGGCCCAGTTTTTGTGATCCTGACTTCATCGATTCTGTTTTTAACTTCTTCATTAGCACAGATTTTGAGTTCTATCGATTTCAAATTCCGCGAAGAACAAGTTCAAGGTAGCTATGTGGGAAACGTAGCTGTTAGCAGCCGATTGGCTTCCACGCTTTCTGAAAATGAGTTTTCGAGGTTAAAGTTCAACCTGCCAGATTCCAAATATTTCAGGATAGATGAAAAGAGCGGGTCTCTAATTTCAGCGGTAAGAATTGATCGTGAGGATGTATGTCAAGGCCAGGACGCCTGTAAATTAACAAACGAAATTATTGTTTATACCAGAATCGGCGCTGGTAATTACGATATTTTAAAAGTAATTACGATGAATGTCGAAATTTTAGACATCAACGATAATTCTCCAGAATTTCCCAGCCGTGTGGTTGGTCTGATGATACCAGAGTCCAACGATCCGAACCATGTTCTGCGAACTCGTGGCGCTGTGGATAAGGACACTGGAGAGAACTCGGTAAAGGAATATCGTTTTCAAGATTTGACTAACACCTTTCGGTTGAGCGTTCATAAGAACCCCGATGGGTCTTCGTACCTAGGAATTGTTGTGAAGGAGAGGCTGGATCGTGAGGTCAGAGACTTCTATCAGGTGACAATTGTAGCCACGGATGGGGGATTCCCCCAAAGGTCGGGGTCAGTTGTGATAAATATAACAGTTACTGACGTCAATGATAAGAGTCCGGAGTTTTCTCAATCGTCCTATAATGAAACAATGCAGGAGAACATGGCCTTGAAGGTTCCGATCATGAAAGTTAGAGCTGTTGACGCAGACAGCGGCAAAAATGCTGAAATCTCTTACCAGTTCAGTTCCCGAGTTTCTCATAAGTTCAGGCAGAAGTTCTATATTGACGGATACACGGGGGAGATATTTGCTCAAAGCAATATTGACTTTGAGGAGGATAAGCTTTTCCAGTTCATCGTTGAGGCCGTTGACCAAGGAACTCCACAGATGACATCGAGAACAAATGTCAATCTCCATGTCATTGACATGAATGATAATTATCCACAAATTCTGATCAATTTACCACCGACGGGAACTGAAGTTGCAGAAAATGAACCAGTAGGGAAATTTATTGCGCATTTAACTATAATTGATTTGGATAGTGGGACTAACGGAGCTGTGGTCTGTGCAATGGATGACAATAACTTTTCTTTAGACAAGTTCATTGACCATTCATCGAATAGGTACAAAGTTGTGTTGGCTAAGACTTTGGATTACGAGCAGAATACCTACCATAGAGTTTCAATAACCTGTTCTGATGGTGGAGTTCCAAAGTTGTCAAATTCAACAACTTTTATCGTTAGTGTGCTGGATGTCAATGATAATCCACCGACATTTACGGAGTCCACTTATACTGAGGCTGTTTTAGAAAACCAGGAGGGCGATGAGGAAATCCTGGAAGTCACGGCTCACGATTGGGACAGCGGGGAGTTTGGGAGAGTGTCTTACACCATCGAGGACAAGTTCTCCGATGTCTTCAGTATACACCAAGCTACAGGGGTCATACGAGTTCTGCGCATGCTCGACAGAGAGGATGTAGCCAGATATGAGTTCTACGTCATTGCTCAAGATAACGGCCCAGAAAAATTGTCATCGTCAGCTCTTGTCGTTATTATTGTTGACGATGAGAATGATGAACCGCCTAGGTTCCTCAATCCTGTGTATTTCGGAGAGGTTCTAGAGAACCAGCCTGCAGGGACGTCAGTCGGAGTTGCCATAGCTGTTGATAATGATAGCCCAGCGAATGCTCAGATGGTTTACTCTGTTCTTGAACTCGGAGAGGATTATATCTACTTTTCAATGGATCCACCAACTGGGATTATTGTTAGTGAATCCACGTTTGACAGAGAAAAGAAAGAGCATTACTTTTTGATGATCCGAGTGGTAGATCCAACAAAATTAAGTTTCTTTAGTGTCTGCAACTTTACAGTCCGCATTTTGGACGAAAATGATCATGCCCCTGCCATACGCATCTCATCTGAAGACAACTCCACTCTTTTCATTTCATATTCAGCTCCGATTGGATCAGTAATCACCAACATCTTTGCTTACGATGGCGATGAAACTTCCTCTCAACATTCCAAAATGCGATTTCTCATTGAGAAAGGAGATCCGGAGCAGCTTTTCGAACTGGACAGCCACACCGGAAGTCTCAGCCTTGCCAGAGCAATTACAGTCAGAGATTTCAAGACCTACAATTTAAAAATTGTAGTTAACGATGGCGGAACGCCACCTCGTTTTGACACGAAACATCTTAGTATTAAGGTCAACGGAACTATTCCTGATGTCGAAGAAGCTGGGATAAGTGAAAACATTATTATTGCTATCATTATAGTGTGTGTTACTGTTATTCTTGTGTGTGTTATTGTAATCACGATACTGCTCATTCGGAAATTCGATCGCCAAAGACGGAGAAATAGGGCCAACGAAAAAATTACGGAGGAGAATATGTACCAGTTAAACAGACCGGAGCTCTTCTGCGATTTGGGACCAGCGCGTTCCGAAGATTTCGGTCTTAATAAGAGAAGCAAGAAAGAGGTAAGACTTTTCTTGACTAACTAATCGTCATCTTCTTTTACATCCGCTCGTATAAGAGCTGTTTTAACAGTATCTTGTGCTCTTAGCTTCTTCTTCTTTTCTTCTTCTTCTGTCGTCTCACTGATACCAAGTTGTAACCCAATGTCGTGGTCTTCTTATTTTTTGTCTTGCTTTTCTCGGGTAGCCTGGGTAATTTATGTAACCATCTTTTTGCAGGTTTTAACTACACCATTATTCAAGCTAGTCTGCGAAATCTTCACCTTTCAGTTTAAAAACATACGATTATAAGAACGTCCTTAACTAGTCGTCTTTAATAAGAATCTTGATCAGGTGTAATGTGTTTACTATCCCTTCCCCACCCTCTTCAAATTGACACCTTAATCCATTCTTTACCTTAGCGTTTCATTATTTAATCATTTCAGACCTAAAAGGCACACATTTATTACCGTACGCTGCAGACATTCTCCGATGATTGTCCACTGGTCGACATTCGTCAAATGAAAGAAACCGAGTCACCGCTCTTTGAACTTCTTTGGATGGATTTTGGATCCACGCGGTCATTGTGACACGGTCGAAATAAACTGAAGAGTTAAATTTATAGTTCAAATACAAAAAGCGAATATAACACGTTCGAGTAATAGCCGGTTGCAGGCACATTTTGTTGTTTTTTTCCCTGTGTGTGTTCTGTTGCCTCATATTTATCGTTGAGGTAGAGAGGACGAATACATCCACGGCCCCTCACTAAGAATATTGCAAAACCCCATAATTAGGAGTTCGATGAAATAGGATATGCTGGACCGAAAGGCGCAGATATCGTAGCCTTGCTGTAAATCACGTCGCAAGATGTCGTTTGAGCTTTCAAGGCTGAATATAGAAGAAAAAGAAATAGGTTCTTTCATAACAGAAGAGTCTAGTAGTTGTTTGTAAATGTTGCGACATTGAGTGCTCTAACTAGCATAGCCTACATTAGTTATTTTACGACAACCAACTAAATTGCCTGGCATATTTTCATGTAGATCTAGTTATTATTCTGATGAATATTATTTGCTTGTTGATCTGAATATGTTTTCCGTTTTTGGGGGGTAATGTTGGTAATTCCCATTCCGTTATTGATTTCTGTTTCGCGTCTAAATATTCGATATTCTGCTGTTGTGTGACCAAGATATGAGAGGCTTTTGACTTTTTGGAATCTTCGTCAAATTACTTATGGTTTTAGAATTTCAGCATGTTCCAAGTGTTGCAACTGTTCATTTTTTGGGTTTTGCGGGCGCTTCAATTTAATTAACTCATTCTTATTGTTCTCGCTTTCTTGTTCTTACTGTTGTTGTTTTCCTCCTCCTCCTTCTCCTCCTCCTCCTTCTTCTTCTTCTTCTTCTTCTTCTTCTTCCTTCTTCTTCTTCTTCTTCTTCTTCTTCTTCTTCTTCTTCTTCTTCTTCTTCTTCTTCTTTTTCTTCTTCTTCTTCTTCTTCTTCTTCTTCTTCTTCTTCTTCTTCTTCTTCTTCTTCTTCTTCTTCTTCTTCTTCTTCTTCTTCTTCTTCTTCTTCTTCTTCTTCTTCTTCTTCTTCTTCTTCTTCTTCTTCTTCTTCTTCTTCTTCTTCTTTCTCCTCCTCCTTCGCGACCTTTCATTCCCTGATGGAAACTTGACCCCTTACCAAAGCCTATCCGTTAAGTCCCCCCCCCCCCCCCTCACGCCCCATGCAGATCTTCTCCCTCCATATGCCTATCTCTAAGTCTATTCTTTTTGTGTGGAAAACATAACATTGGGTGGGGAAGGGGGAGGAGGAGGAGGGGGGGGGGGCGAGAGAGATTTCGAGTATAGATTCTTTTGACCTATCCATTCCATCTTATTTCATTAAATCTCAGACTGCTCATACTATAATATTCGATTACAGCTAAATTTTCGACTACCCTTTTAAAAGTATACCACAAAGTTTCAACATTTAAGGAATATGTTTTGCAGATTTACTTTGGGGAAAGGAAAACAAGGAGTTAAAACTCCTTTCGACTTTCTCTATATCGTTTCACATTACGACTATTACAAACACAAACGACAAGCAAACGTTGGGCCGGAAAGTCTTCATCAGCACATATGAAATATTTATGTTTACAAACTTGAATACACTTATTGACTTACTAAAGCGAAGTCTCCAAGAAGAATCCACCTGCGTGTCTGGCCAGCTGACCTAACTTCTAGGCGAAGCTTTCATAATCTTTTTCTAGTAATTATCATCATCATGATGATCATTATCATTCTTCGTGTGCCGTTAGACGTCACATTGGGCTCGCATGTGATTCCTCCATTCTCCGCTATTGCATGCAACTTTCTCCATTTCTGACATGGATCGAGTTCAGCCCAGAATATTTGTCCTCTCGTAATAAGTAATAATGTTCTACATAATGTTTCCTTTGGACGTCGTCTTTTTCTCAGATCGTTTATTTCACGTTGCAGCTCCTGTTTTTTACTTCTTTCTGTCGTTTGTTCTCCCAGTGTACCCAGTATATCTCCCCCTTCTTTTTCTGTAGTCAAAACAGAAATGTGTTCAGACATTTGTGATCTCCTCATTTTTGTTGAATTTATCCCAATTTATGTTCATGTGCCTTCTCGGGCATTTATTTTCAAATGAATTTATCTTTCGTTCCATATCTTTGGTGATTCTCCAACTTTCTCTGGCGTATGCTAGAACTAAAATAATATTAGAATGAAAATTCGTAGTTTGGTCTAACAGTTGTCTAACTTGGAGCTCCATGTTTTCTTAAGTATTTTAAAGACGGTTGTTACGACATCAATGCGTCTATTAATTATTATGCTACAGTATATTTCATGTGTAGTGTATTATTTATTATGTGCCATATTGTCGCTATCCGTGCCATATAATGTATTAGCTTCTCTTCATTTTTTCATTATCTCTGCTATATTCTCTATTATCAGTTCATATTATCTATTCTTTATTATCTTTTAGCTATGAACTAATGATTATGACCTATTCTGTATTATCACTTATCTATGCTATTCGATCTTTCCGTCGTAACTGTTACCCATGCTATATTATCTATTATATGGGATTTACTATCAATACCAAATTGTCTATTTATTATCTATACTCTGTTGTATATTTATTATCTATGCTCTGTCGTCTTTTGTCTATGCTCTTTAATCTTTTACCTTTGTTGAGTTGTCCTTTACATATGCTCTGTTTTCTATTATGTATTCTCTATTATCTATTATTTATTCTCTATCGTCTATTACCTATACTGTGTTGTCTCTTATTTATGTTCTGTTGTCTATCTATTATCTATGCTGTATTGTCTTTTTTTATGTTCTGCTGTCTATTATATACACTCTTTGTCTTTTATTCATTTTCTATTGTCTATTATCCGTCCTCTGTTGTCTTTATCCTGGCAATGTTGTCTTTTATCTATGCTCTGTTCTCTATTATGTATGCTATATTAGATATTATCTAAGCTCTATTCTCTATTACACGTGCTCTATTGTATATTATCTCTGCTCTATTTTCTATCACGTATGCTCTGTTGTTTATTATGTATACCCTGCTCTCTATTACGTTTTCTCTGTTGTATATTAAATGTGCTCTATAGTATGTTATCTATTCTCCGTTGTCTATTATCTGCTATATTGTCAGAAACATATGCTATGTAATCTTTGCTCTGTTATTTATGCTCGGCTGTTGAACACATACTCTTTAATATCGATAATCAATGCTCTGTTATCTATTTTTGTAGGGGTACTATGTAGTATCCATGATTTGTATAGGTACTATGTAGTATCTATGTTTTGTTGGGGTACTTTGTAGTATCCATGTTAAGTTGGGGTACTTTGTAGTATCCATGTTTTGTAGGGGTACTATGTAGTATCCATGATTTGTTGGGGTACTTTGTAATATCCATGTTTTGTAGGGGTACTATGTAGTATCCATGTTTTGTAGGGGTACCATGTAGTATTCATGTTTTGTAGGGGTACTATGTAGTATCCATGTTGTGTAGGGGTACTATGTAGTATCCATGTTTTGTAGAGGTACTATGTAGTATCTATGATTTGTATGGGTACTATGTAGTATCCATGTTTTGTAGGGGTACTATGTAGTATCCATGTTATGTTGGGGTACTATGTAGTATCCATGTTTGTAGGGGTACTATGTAGTATCGATGATTTGTAGGGGTACTATGTAGTATCCATGTTTTGTAGGAGTACTATGTAGTATCCATGTTTTGTAGAGGTACTATGTAGTATCCATGATTTGTAGGGGTACTATGTAGTATCTATATTTTGTTGGGGTACTTTGTAGTATCCATGTTTTGTAGGGATACTTTGTAGTATCCATATTTTATAGGGGTACTATGTAGTATCCATGTGTTGTAGGGGTACTATGTAGTATCCATGCTGTGTAGGGGTACTATGTAGTATCTATGTTTTGTAGGGGTACTATGTAGTATCCATGCTGTGTAGGGGTACTATGTAGTATCCATGAGGTGTAGGGGTACTATGTAGTATCCATGATTTGTAGGGGTACTAAGTAGTATCCATGATTTGTAGGGGTACTATGTAGTATCCATGATTTGTAGGGGTACTATGTAGTATCCATGTTTTGTGGGGGTACTATGTAGTATCCATGATTTGTAGGGGTACTATGTAGTATCCATGTTTTGTAGGGGTACTATGTAGTATCCATGATTCGTAGAGGTACTATGTAATATCCATGTTTTGTATGGGTGCTATGTAGTATCCATGTTTTGTTGGGGTACTTTGTAGTATCCATGTTTTTTAGGGGTACTATGTAGTACCCATGTTTTATAGGGGTACTATGTAGTATCCATGATTTGTAGGGGTACTATGTGGTACCCATGTTTTGTAGGGGTACTATGTAGTATCCATGTTTTGTTAGGGTACTATGTA